GTCAGATGGGTTTGCAGATTGTTAGCTAAGATGTTGGAGGGCATGTTTTAAAAGCATGCTAGTAGGAAACAAATGACATTGGCAAAGACAAAAGGGTATTTGCAAAACGAGTCCTTTAGAGACGGAAGGCCATCCAGACAGGAGACAAGTTGAGAAATCTGCCACCTGAGCAGCAGATATTGCAAGAGTTGCTTCTGGCTCAACACCACCTTTTCCCGCGGGGCTACGGGCTCTCACCAGTCCGCGGTTCCTAGTGAAAACACATTTTAAGTCCAACTCGGAGGGTTCAGTTCAGTGTGGTGTGTGGAGGAAAACTTCCACGGCTTTCTTATGGGAAGGCTTCGATTCAGTCATGCCCTGCGGGCTGCAGGAGCCAAGCCAAGGTGATAAACATATGGTAAAGCTGCAGAGGAGATCTGTGGTTTTAGGACAGAGTAGCATTGAATAACTGCAGCTCCGCACATACTTGAGTACTCCAGGTGTCTGCCAGGTACACCTGAATTTCAGCTCAGAGGGTAAGGGGGAACTGAGTCACAGGGGAAGGCTGACACCTACTTCTAGGAAACGTTGGCCTTTGCAACAGACCTGGGAGTCTGGTCAGCTTTTTGGTAGAGCTTGAGGTTCAGAGGCATGAGCCCCAGCTTATTCCTGAAAGAAATGTCAAAATGGGGTGCATTGGGGGGGTTGATATGTAATTACCGGACTTTTTAGGGCACTGGAGAGTGATGGAAGGCAGTGATAGACAGGAGGTCGGAATGTGGATTCAGATCCAAGAGGAGAAAACATGGGCAGACATGGCATTCCACCTCTCTTCCCAGTGTGTGTACCGTGCAGTTGCTACGGTCTTTTATCAGCTCTTCTCCCTCAGATTTTAACCATTTTGGGGCTCAGAAAACAAGGCTCTCTCCAGAGTCACCTATACTAAACTAGGATGCTGATAATTACAGTATGGCTGGGAAATGCTCTCCGCTTAGTAATGCCTGGAATTAGCTGAAGTGAATGTAATAATGTGGACAGTGGTAGTGTTGTTAAAAGATCCGTTTTTGAAGTTGGAGCCAAGTTGGGAAGCTCAGGGAGAAAAAGTAGCTTTTGACAGAAGGAAATCCTAGAGCAAGGAAGAAAGAACCATGTCAAAGCCCCAGTGACCCCCTCGCCCAGCATGACAGTCTTGCAGGGAGGAAGGCGGGTCTCCCTGGTGGCCTCCCTCCTCTTCTCTGACCCGTCCCTCTGGCACCTCCCAAAGCTGCTGCGGTGAGCAGGACTTCCGTCTGGATCCCACAGCCTCACGGAGCCAGGGATGGCGTGGGGTGGGGGTTGCTGATATAGGGGGAGGGGCACTCATACACCGTCCTCCCGCCTCGGCCCCCTTCCCACACAGCGCACACGCCACAGGTGAGGAGGCGAATCTGTTCTCTGGTCATATAAGCATTCTGTTTCCTTTCCGAGCCTTTGAGCTGTTGGAAGGGCTGTACTTTTGGGTGTGACCAGAATGGTTCGTTTGTACTGTTTCATACCAGCATCTGCTGTCAAAGCCCTGGTCTTCCTTGAAAGCCTGCTTCAAAACCTGCCTCCCCTGCCTCCCTCTCTGCACGCCTCCCACGATATTTCTTCTCTCCTCTCCCAGTCTCACGGAGCACGCTGTGTGGGGCTCTTTTTATAGCACTCACCACAATCTGCTCCTGAATCAGATTTGATGGTGTCTATTTCTCCCTAATCTAGAGCTCCTGGAGACAGAAACTCGCCTTTTTTTTTTTTTTCCCCTGACTATTCTTCTGCAGTGCCTGGCGGTAGATTTGAGGCCTTCCAGTTTGAGGTCCAGTCGGAGTTTATTAAATGCTCTCTTTAATTTCAGGGGATCATATAGCCCTTCTTCAGAGAGTCAATTTATCATAATCCCTATGTCCTATAATTATGCTTTTCTATCTGAGTCCGCCTGCCCCTAATAAACATGGCCAGTTGATCTTTATTTCCCTGTGTACTTGCACCTTGGTTCTCAATAAACGAGTCTTTAATTAACAGATAATTGAATAGCAACGTATATTTTTTAAATAGTATTTAAAGTAACGTAAGTTATTTGTAGTGGGAGAGTAAGAAAAGGTTACCAGGAAGATGATGCTGGAAAAAAAAAAAAAAAGGAAAGATCTGAAGATCTTATCACCTTCAAATATTTAGTAAACAGTATGAAAGAGTAGAAAATCTTTTTACCAGGAACGTTATTTCTTCCATAGCTACTAATAAGGTTGTGGCTAAAATTTTTAAATATGCATTAATATTCATGACTTAGACTTATTTCCTAAAACTTTGTGGGTTGATTGTTAATTTTTCTGATCTTTTTTGTTTTATTTGAAATTAGGACTCAGGTATACCAGCTACCCCAGTTATGAATTGATTAGATTGGTGCTGCAGTTATACTCAAGTGATAATTTATTATGCCTTCAAAAATGTTTTTCAAAGTGGTAATGGATTATATGACTGGCCTTTGTTTAGAATTAGAACTTGTGATTTTAACTTTTAGCAATTTGTGCAATTTGGCTATTATCTCGATATTTAAGAAGCAAGATACACATGGTTATTGGTTTTTAATACGTAGAGTTCTAGCTGTTCTTGGACACTTGGAGTTTATTTACTAATCAAATATTGGCGAGCCTTCTGCATGCCAGGTGGGCATGTTTCTGCAGTGTGACCTGTGTGTGTGTGTGTGTGTGTGTGTGGTCAGGGGTGGGGGGCCTGGGGTTGATTCCCACTTACCTCTAGGTATCTTCAGGACAGGTATGTAGCTGTAGCCTAGGCTTTTGGACCGCCAACTCTAGCCTAGTGCCTGACTGATAGGAAGAGATCATTCTGTCCGTGGATAAATGGCTTAGGTGCAGAGGCCTGTAAGGTGGCTGGCGGCCCAGAAGGTCTCCTAGTGCAGTTGGACTGGGAGCCAGGCCATCCAACGATAGTGTTTCTCATCAGTGTAACATATCCACATAGGGAGCTTGCCCAGGGCACAGAGGGGACACCTGAGCATGGGGTGGAAGTCAGGAAAGATTTTTGAGGTGGTGTACTCTTCCGGTTTCTCAAATACACATGGGGAGGGAATGACATTCAGGGCCAGCATACGTCAGGCTACTCAGAAGCAAAAGCACTTTGTCTTTGGACTGTGGATTTTTTTTCTTTAATGTAAAATGTGAGGGGCTTCGTGGCAAGAGACAAAGGCTGAGAAAGACCGGTTATGGAATGCCATGCAAAGGATGTGTAGCCTCCATCACTTTAGTGGTAGCTTAGAGGAGACTGCTTTGGTTACATTCGTAAAACTGACCGTCTCTCCCCGTAATTGTTCCTCCTCCTGTGATTTCTCCCTCACTCCTAGTTGCCCAAGCCAGGAATCTGGGTTTCTTCCTTATCTGTTCTTTTGTTGTCATGTCCCCTGTCTGATCAGTCACCATCTGCCACCACTTCTCAGCTTCTGTCTAGTCCATTCACTCTCCTCTGTGCTCCTTGCTCCAGTCTGGGCTGTGCTCTGTGGCTGTAACAGTTTCCTCTGTGGTCCCTCAGCCCTGCATCCATTACTTTCCGGCCAGAGAAAAGCTTTTGAATACAAATTGGGTCATGCTGGTTCCTGCTCAGGGGTTCTATGGCCTCCCATTGCCCTTGGGAGAAGCTCATCTCCTTGAGCGGACCTGCAGGGCCTTTCAGCTCAGCCTCCAGCTCTCACCTCTGGCTGCCCCCCCCCCCCCACGTGGTAGCTGCTGCTCCCGTCGTGCTGAGCCCTGCCCCTCAGCTCTACCAGATCCGCTCAGGGCTGGCCTCCTGCCCCGGGACAGCCTTCTCTTCCTGCCGCTAAACTCCCTAGCTTTGTCCCTTGGGTCGTTGCTTCCAGGGAGTGTTTCCTGAGTTTCCAGCTCTGGAATTTTAGAGCCCTCCATCTGTGAACCTGCAGTGCCCAGTATTTGCCCAATTGTGACATGTATGAAGCATTATTTTACTCACTTGCTTAATTGTCTCTTTCTTGGGGCATCGGGGTGGCTCAGTTGGTTAAGCATCTCTTGATTTTGGCTCAGGTCATGACCTCAGGGTGGTGAGATTGAGCCCCGCCTCAGACTCTGCACTCAGTGTGGAGTCTGCTTGAGAGACACTCTCTCTCTCCCTCTCTGCCCTTTCCCTCACTTGCTCTCTCCAAATAAATAAGTAAATAAATAAATAAATCTTTAAAAAAAATTAAAAATAAAATTTAAAAAAAAATAGCCTCTTTCCTGTAAGGGACTGTGAATTCTGTGATGGCAGAGACCAAGTGTAGCTTGTTTACTATCTTATTCCCAGCTCCCAGAACAGCACCTGACAGGCAGTAAATGTTTACTGCACATTAGATCTGTGAATATCCAAAGTACTGATTCCCATGCCCAGCATGCAGAGGAGTACCAATAAATCAGGTAGGTTGTGTTGACTACCATGTACAGCAGCTGTGGCTATTAGACAGAGAGGCAGTAACCTCACATGTGAAAATAGGCCGTGATAAGGACAAGCACATGGCCATTAGAAGTGACAGGTCAGAAAGATATGGCTGATCCTTGCTGATAAACTCTCTGAGAAGCGGTGAGGGCAGAAGCCAGTGGTTTGAAGAGTCCAAGCTCACGGATAGAAGGTGGGGACCGAGCAAAGATGAATTTGGAGAAATGGTTGACTGAAAAGGAAATTGTTAGAAAGGCAACAGGGTCAAAGGAAAATGCTTTTAGGTAATGAAAGAATTCTGTTTCTGTTCACGGGCTGAGGATGAGAGTCCACCTCGGAGGCAGGTGCAGAGACAGGTGTGGCTCTGGGTCAGACCTGGGAGCCGAAGCGCTGGCCTTGCGCCGGGTGGGGAAGCTGGTGTCCCGCGTGAGGACAGAGGAAAGGTAGTGGGCGGGGTGGCGGGAATGTGTGCAGGGGGCTGGGGAGAAACCAAGGGTAAGAGGCAGGGGTGTGAGCATGTTCACTTCTGTTGCCCACAACCTTGACATCTTTCTTCCTTCCTGCAGCTGTTCGGGGGACTCGTCTGGATTTTGGTCGCCTCCTCCAACGTTCCTCTACCTCTGCTACAAGGATGGGTCATGTTCGTGTCTGTGACGGCTTTTATCTTTTCCCTCCTCTTCCTGGGCGTGTTCCTCTCTGGCATGGTGACTCAGATTGATGCCAACTGGAACTTCCTGGTAAGGGATTTTTAGGTCTATTTCAGGAAAATGCGAGAAACATTTAAATATCTTACTCTGTCTTGAAATGCGTGGTCCCCTGTTCTCTCTGTTGCCTCCAGGGAGAGAGGAAAGGTCTGAGTCCCAGTCCTCTGTGCTGCCATGTGGCCGCGTTGCTGGACAGCAGGCTCCCAGCTTGTGAAATTTCTGTCAATAGAGCCGAGCCATCTTTCTGTTACTCCTTTGTGAATTAGATGACCTTTACTCAAAGACCCTTTTATTTCATGCAACAAATGAATTGCATGACAGTTATGGAACTATCGAAGAGGTGCCTTTGGGAGATGGATGCTGTGACATAGATCTTGAAATTTTCCATTGATTTCTGCTTCAAATATTAAATACATTCTTTTCAGAAAACCAGTAGCTATATACTCTATTCTCTAAATACTTAGAAAAGGGGATAGTTTATTTTTAATTCCTGCCCTAAATTAGTAAAAATTGATAATTTTAAGAAATGAATTTATAATCAACATAATTTTAAAAATTATGATGCCATTAAATTGGATCAACTTACTTTCCCTTTTCCCATATAATATAGGGGGCCTCTTTCATGCTTATGGTTATTCGATCTCTGAGACTATTTCGGAATGGCCAGTGGAGCTTGAATTCCAATCTGTGGCAGACAGTGCTTTGATGAAGTTCGTGAAGAACCTCTGTTACAGCGCTTTAATGAAGTTCCTGAAGAACCTCTGTTATGTTTCAATCAGCTGATGGTTAGAAACTTAAATCAGCCCTTTAGTCAGGCTTATGTTGTTCTTTTCGGGTATGGTAACATTGTATTCACCAGCTTTAGGAAGGATGTTAGGCATCTTTAAAAATGTTCTTAGTTACAGAGTGTAAGGAGAACCATCATCCCAGATGTTATCAGCAGTGAAGTCTAGTGGATGTGGTTGCCCATTAAACCAGCCCAGGGGCAGATGGTTAGTGTAAAGTTAAGGAGGAAGTATGGGGCAAGGGTTATAATCTTGCACAGGCTTTGAAGTTAGGTCTGGTTTGTTTAATAACTGTGTAGCCTTGGCCAAAGTATTGAACCTCTATGACTTCCGATTTCTTCCTCTGTTAAATGGTAATAATAGTAACTACCTGGAATTAATGCATTCTAAAGTGCTCATCAGCTTTGTGTCTGATTTACAGCGTATGATCCGTAATCATCATAATTCCTGAAGTATGCCACGTCTTGCAGTTTGTAACTTTGAAAGTCCTTTTGTTCAGTCACTAGATTGTATATCTGAAACTAATATTACACTGTATGTTAACTAACTGGAATTTAAATAAAAACTTAAGGTAAAAAATTATTTCCACAGACACACACACAGGAAGTCCTTCTGTTTCTTAGGGTGCTGATGCAGTGTGTTCCTACATTTTTGCCTTGCTTTCTCATTAACGATAAGAAAATATTTCTAAATAATTGGTCAAGTGATGAAGATCAGAAATCTCTATATAAGTTTCAGATAGATTGCTTAATCTCCTCTTTCTAAATGCCTGGCTTTCCCACAATCATGTATGAATGAATGAATCATCACCTGATGTCGGTAGGCACCACCAGGCTCTTTAGATATTAAGCTCAGAGATGGTATTTGGCCAGTGTGTACCATATAGCCTTCAGGACTAGTTCATACATAGTCATTGCCCCAACCTGCTACCTCTTCCCAAGTGCTGTGCTCCCCGCCACCTTGGCCCTTCCTCTGGGACCTTCCTGGACTTCCTAGTAGCCCAGCCACTAAAGGGTTACTAACTAGTGAGTCTCCAGGGTCCTGCATGGCCCAGCATTGCTTCTAATGGTTGATGCACATGTTGTACCAATGTTTAAATATTTTCCCAACATCGCTCCTTTATTAGGCATATGTTCATACCATCTTTTTTTCCTTTTGTTTATATTGAGTCTAATTTCTGAGATTGAGTACATCATTAATATCCTTATAAATTTGTTAGGTTCCCCCCTGATCTGTAACATTATATTTGTTGTTCAGACAATAAAATGTAAGAATGTGTTGTTGTTGTTATTTTTTAATTAAACCACTTTACGAAAGGGGCAACTGAAATTGGAAAGAGCAGCCAGTGTGTTGCAGAGGTCTCCTGCAGAGAGTTCATCCTGGGGTTCTTTAGCTGGGACGGTCCACTCGTACTGAGGGAGGAAATGGTGGTGGCCCCACACAGCACACAGCACAGCCTCGTCACGGTGGACATACTTTCCAAGAGCCAACTCATGCCTTTACGGAGTTGACTTAAACGCTTGCCATATTGAGAATGGACTCCTTTTTTTTTTTTTTTCCCTCTCCTTTTGTGATTTTCCACATCATCAGTCATTTCTGACCAGAGTTGCTTTTGGTGGGTTTTGTGATGTATCGTGTATACTCTCAGCCAGAAAACTCTGAGCAATGCATACCGTGGCGTCATCACCAGATGGTAACCATCTTTAATTACTGCATTCTGGAATTGTTAGACGTTAACTGTGCAAAAAATGTTTCCCCTTGTGATAACAGTTTAATGTTACCTGTATACAGTGCATGAAGGAAGCAAGAATGCGTTTTGATGAAGAATTTATTTTCTAAAAGTATTTGTTGTGCGATATTAACTAAAATACTCATAGCTTCTAGCTTTTGTTGATCATGAGGCTGAATTAACATTTGTGGTGGTAGAAATCTTCAGTATTTTTTCCCAAGCTTTCTAACTTTGGTGTAAGTGATGAAATAAAAATATAATATGTAATATATCTAATAACATATATTAAATGCTAAAAACTTGCCCTATTCTAATTTGAGGAAAGAAGCAGGTTTTGATTTTTGAGATGGTTTTTCTGTTTTTTTTTTTTTTTTTTTGAGGAAATACCATTTTGCCTAACTCTAAGAGATACCATACTTATTTTCCATTTTTGGAGAGGTGGGGTATGAAGGCAAGATATATTTTAGAAAAATAAGAGCTACCAAAAAAAAAAAAAGTCCTGTACAATTAAACATGCTTCACTTTATTCCCCCAAAGTAGGTGGCATGCATTTGCCTGTTATGGACATCACTTAATACTGTGAATGTCCTGAGCTATATTTTCTGTCCCGCCATTCCTTTACTTATTTGATCTTTATGACAGTTCCTTATCGGAGACTATTACTGTTCTCATTTTTATGGTTGAGGAAGATAAAGCTCGGTGTGGCTTTTGTCCCTCTTTCGTGCTGTTGTTGTGGAAACCAGGATCCCCCTATTTACAATGTAGCTTTTTTTTTTTAACTATTTAGTAAAAATTTGACCTAAGGAGCAAACCTAGGCTTAAGATAAGAATATGGGGGATAGTCATTTGTTGCTGGGGGGGAAAAAAAAATCACACTCTGCTTAAGGTTGTTTACCTGAGCAAAAAGTGAAGACAAGCGGGCCGCACTCTGGGCGGTGTGACTATCGGGAAGTCTGGCGGAAGAGCAGGAGTATACAAAGGAGACTCGGAAAGGGGCTGGGCCATCTGCTGATGGGGAGGTGCCAAGCACTCAGGACAGGTGGTTCACAAGGGTGGTCCCTGGCCAGTGGCAGCGGCTGCACCTGGCAACCTGTTAGACGGGCAGATTCTCAGGCCCCACCTGGACATCCTGAGTCAGAAACTCAGAAGGTGCGACGCAGCAGTCTGTGCTGTAACAAGCTTTTCAGATGATTCTGAGGCATGCTTACCTCTGAGAACCACTGGTTTTGCATAAACAATGTGCCTTGTCCAAAACAACGAGCAAAAATCTGTGGAAGGCCTTCTTACACACATTGCACACGTAGCAGGAATCGGAATGAGATGTCCAGCATGGCCAAATATAAATGTGGATGTGGCTCTCCTGTGGTGGGGAGTCTTGACGGAGTACCTGATATGTACCTGGCCCTGTAGCAGGCCCTGGAAATACAGTGGTGAACAAGACAGGCCTGTAGTGGCCCTCAGAGTTTGTTGTAGTAGATGGTGTCAGTAGAGAAATAATTACACAGGGATGCCTGGGTGGCTCGGTTAAGTGTCTGCCGTCAGCTCAGGTCATGATCTCAGGGTCTGGGATGGAGCCCCACGTCGGCTCCCTGCTCAGCAGGGAGTCTGCTCCCTCTCCTTCTGCCGCTCCCCTCTGCTCATGTTTTCTCTCTCAAATAAATAAATAAAATCTTTAAAAAAATAATTATACAATTGACACATTAGTCAAAATGATGTTAATGGCCAAGCAGGGAGTGTTCAGGATACTAGAAGAGCATATCTATCATGTCAGGTCCACTGGGAAGCAGACTATAAGATGAATTTAAAAGTACAAGAGATTCTGGGGTGCCTGGGTGGCTGGGGTGGTTAAGCATCTGACTCTTGATTTCAGCTCAGGTCAGGATCTCAGGGTCATGAGATCGAGCCCCAAGTCGGGCTCCATGCTAAGCTTGGAGCCTGCTTAAGATTCTCTCTTTCCCCCTCTCCCTCTGTCCCTCCCCCCTGCTCATGCTGTCTCTAGGGGAAAAAAAAAAAAAGGAAAAAGTGCAAGAGACTTTTTTTGAGGGGGAGGGGGAGAGATAACACCTGTAAAAGGTGATGGGGAAGGAAATGGGGTAAAACAGAAAAGTCCTAGAGTGGGATGCAGATCGACGGTCTTGCCTAAATTAATGAGAAGCTCAGGAGCACAGTCTTTGCCTTAAGAGTCTTGTTTTAGGCAAAAGTGTCCAGGCACCAGTATCCCCACTGTACCATCATTAGCTGGGGACTGCCAGGAGCAATGTGGCCTCGGCAGATCCCCAATCCACCGAAGCCAAAGCTGTCCGCTAACTAGACTCCTCACAGCTGAATGTCAGGTTCTTTTTTAAAAGGGACTGTGTGCAGAACGTGATTACGGATGTGCAAGGGCCCAGTAGAACATGAGGAGCTGCTTTACAAAGACGTGTAACTCCCCACTGCAGGTTACCTGCCTGACTCTAAAGTCCAGGAGCCTGCATAGTGATTTGCTCGCCAGGGTGGCCATGAATTCAGTTCTTTTCCTCCAACACCTTAGGATACATATGACCCTAGGATGATAGGGATAGCTGGATAGCCTCGCCCAAGTCAGACAGAGTTAGGAATAGAAGACGTTTATTGGATGACAACACCCATAAAAGATGAAGGAAAAGGATTGGACAGGGAAGCCTTAACCGCACATCAGTTCTGATTACTACTGAAAAGGAGGAAGAAGTCAAAAGCAGCAGGACTGGAAAGTTGATGGTGGGGGGGGGGAGGTGCAGGCTGTAATTGGTGGTGGGAAGAGTCTTTTTCAGCCACACAATACTGCGAGTAAAGAGCATCGGCCTTGAAACAGAGTACGTCCTAGCACCAAAACGAGGTCACAGTGGCTGATGCTCAGAGAGATGGAAGGGTGGCATGAGCTGAGGCTGGTGAAGAGCGTGAGAGCCTCGTCTTACCAAGAGTTGCGGCCATGTCACCAGATTTTTCCCGCCCCTTCTAACGTCACATGAGCCACTTCCGAGGGTCTGCCTCAGTAAGTTAGGTGAGCGCCTATGATCTCAAACATATTTTTCTCTCAATCTTAATTACTAATTGCGATCTAGCTCTATTCCTTTTAATCCCTAAAAGTAGGGATGTTTGGGCTTTGAGCTTCATCGGTTAACATCTGTTGCATAGCAACATGGGTTTGAGCATTTCTGCTATCGATTAGACACACGATCAGTGTATAACACAGTTCTTCAATCTTTTGAAGGCACTGGTGAGTCAGCTTCTACGTTAGAGGTGTTAAGTAGAACACATTTTTAGTGTGTACCTTTGTAATCCCCACTCCTGGTGAGTTAGCTTTTCCTTATTATTCTAGGCAGAGTAAGAACAATTCTCACCATCAGTTTTGTTTGCTGAATGGGCCTTTACAAAGGCAGCGCACTGTTCTTTCTCTGTAATGTTGCTGTATCAATAACAGTTTGATAGAAGAAAGAAAGCGGACTTTGGAACCAGACAGCCCTATGTGGGTTTGAGTTCTCCTTTCAAAAGGTTATGTTTGTATGGCTTTAGAACAGTCATTTAATTTAAAAAAAAAATCCTTGTTTATAAAATGGGTATAGTAAATAGTGGTTGTAAGGATGAATGACAATGAATGTAAAGTACCAGGTATCTGGGAGCTGTTGATAAAAATACACAACAGTGTGTTGATGGATATCAGTTCGTGTAAGACAGTGTGAATTCCAGTAGAGTTACTGCTTCAGAATCCCAGCAACGTATGAAATCACCTTATGACAACTAAGTTTTGTTTGAGAGGTCCTATACTTTTTGTTGAAGTATATGATATATAATTTGCTTTTTTAGAATATCAGGAGATATGGTATTGAATTCTTAGATGTTGTAGGTCTTCTGCATTCTTCAGTGTATGGGGTGACAGTCTAACGGATGGAAATAATAATCGCTCAGAAATAAAAGACTTAATTATAAAAGGTGTGTATGTATATTATTATATAACTATATAATATACTACAATAATATGATTTTTATCCAATAACTATAATAAGGTGTATGAAATTATATATTTTATTATAAAATTCAGGACATTAGTTTTGCCACTATGCCGATTACAGCAGTTCGGTTGGTTTTCATTTGGATTCTAATAGCTTGACATTGTTCAGGCAGCCAGAGTAAATGGTGAAGATGGTTAAAGATTGTTTGATTAAGTGTTCTAACCTTCCTGAACCTAGACCTCATGAGTTGAAATTAGGAACAGAAAATAAAAGTATTACTTTTAATTGTAGGTCTTTTTTTTTTTTTCCTTCCTCTTTCAGGATTTTGTGTACCATTTTATAGTGTTTGTCTTCTACTTCGGAGCCTTTCTCCTGGAAGCGGCAACCACATCCCTGCATGATCTGCGCTGCAATACGACCATGACTGTGTCACCGCTCTTGAGTGATAACCAGTATAACATAAATGTAGCAGCCACAGTGAGTGTCCATGAGTCCAGGTGACCAGCCCCCCTCCCCCACTGTCGCGGTCTCCCAGAAACTCCTTGGGCAGCCATCGCTTTCTCTAACAGTAGCCGTTAGCATTACACGTAGACCTGGGCAAAGTTCCGCCCTTCCCCCTGGTGTTGTGGACCCCAACACTGAAGCACGGACACCAAGGACAGCCAGCCCGTGGTTGCGGCTGGCCTGGCACATCAAAGCCTATTTTGTAGAAAGAATTCATTGTGCTTTTTGCTTCCTCTAACTGCAGACATGGTAAGGGAGATTTGTTCTTCACTGGTCCGTACCTACTTGTAATTCATTTTAATTCAGTGAGTACTTAGAGAACCTACCATGAGGGCGGAAACCGGTGGGGTGTTGGGGACAGGGATGAACCACGTACAGCTCTTGCCCCTGAGGAGAGTCCAGGGGGGTAAGGGGGGTAAATATTCCCGCCATGACAATAGATGACTTACAGATGAAATGCATTCCATGGGGACATTTTTAGGGAATTTTTTAGTCTTCCTTAATTCATATACTTGAGTGAGTTTCTTGTTTTTTACTGACATAGGTAATTTGAAGAAATACTACACTATTTCTGTTTTTACAATTTTGAAAGTGTTAGAAATCCAAATCATTCCCTAAAATGTGTTGATATTTAATATGGCTATATAGCAAGTTAGTGACCCTAATGTTTTACTATTTTATGTAGATAGTATATATAAACAGCCCAGGACTCCCCCATATAGCCATTAAAATCTTTCTGGAGCAGTGTTGTCCACCAGCACTTTCTAAAATGATAGAAATATCCCATATATGCATGATTCAATATGGTGGCTACTAATTAATCCATTAATTCATTCATTTTAATTAATTTACATTTAAATTTAAATAGCCACATGCGGCTGGTGGCTCTCATATTGGACAGCACAGGTCTAGAGTCTGGGTTTTGAAGGGTGGAGGTGCGATGATTTTAAGACCTACTATCATCAGGTTCCCAAGCCTCTGTTAGGATTTGTCAGAATTCATTGAGTGTCTACAATGAATTAGACTATATGTGGATTGCAACAGAAAGGAAGCTGGTTCCAGCTTCTACAGGCTTAGAGTTTAGATCAGTGATTTTTATACTTTCTTTTATAGGAAGTAAAACTGTTTTACTTAATGAAATCTTACTGAAAACCCAATAAATACAGACAGCAAGAGCACGTATGCTCTAGTTGGAGTGGGAGAAAAGGGTCTTGAATGATGCCCGTCCATCCTTCTCCCGAAGCCACCTCTGTCCACCTCATCTCTGAGGCACTGCTATGGGATCCTTAGTATCCAGAGACCACAGTTAGAAAACCACTGGTTTTACCAATTTTATGAAGCGAAGAAAAGTTCAGGGACTTGGAATTGACTTTTTTCCTACCAAGTGTCCTTCCTATGAGTCCTCAATTCTCGTTGGATTTTCCTTTACTACTTCAATGCCCTCCTTTTTAGTGGTGCAGGCTATATTCTCATTACCTCTCAGATCCTTGAAGTAGCACCAAATTGGCCTATTTATAGTTGCCCTAAGATCCCACTTTCAGAAGAGTAGTAGGTGCTAAAGTACTTAGTGGATGGTGGATGTCATTAATTTCTCACTAACGTTCCTTTGTCCTGAGAGCCCAGTTTTCAGTGTTCTCCGTGGTGTGGTTCTGTTCTGGCTGACCCTTTTCTATGACTTTGTCCCTGTTATCCTTCCCTTTCTCTCTGCCTAAGTGAAACTGCCTTGGGAAACCTCAACATACTTTCAGTTCTACATTATGTACCATCTCATCCATACACTCCCACAGAAGTGAATCTTTAATTTCTGAGTTTTAATAATACCTAAATATATGAGACATTCTTTTGTGACATTACATTGAGTCCCTTACTTTACTTTTTATTTTAGTATACCTGAGAGAGGAAAATTCATTTTCACTAATAATAGATATCAGAAGTGGTCTTTCTCATTCAGCAGACAATGTCTAGATTAGAGATGTATCAAAGAGACAACCAGCAGAAGAAGGCTGGGGAGAATGAATAGCAGACTGGCAGTTAGAGAATGGTCATGGTCTATAGGTGAATCCGATATTCCTTCTCAGAGCTAGAGTTTTCTGGTAAAGGATCCCTGTACTAAATCATAATGTTTTACCATACTTAATTGCTTTGTCTTATAGTTTTCTATGGATCATGAATTCCCAAAGGGTGAGGACACTATCTACTATTTGTTTATATGCACCAAATGTACTGATGGACACATAGTTGGTGCTAAAGAAATCCTTGTCAAATAGTAAGGACGGTAATTCAGAGTTGAGTGCAGGTTTCAGAACTATCTCCCATGCCAATCTGTTGATTCATTTCTGCGGCTTTACTTTGTTTACTTCTAAAGTCGCTTTCCACTGTCACAGGAAGGATTTGATACATCCTCAAGTTCTGATACTTGCACTTTTCTTGGCTGTGAAATCACGGTATGAATAGACACCTCGTAATGAATTTTTGAATATCGTGTTGGGGGTTTCATAAATGTTTAACAAGTGAGTCCAGCATGTGAACAAATGTTCAACCTAAGGCTATCCACAAATGAGAAAATTATGAGGGGCCAGAATGTTTAAAAGAAGGGTTAATGATATGAGGGGGTAAAACAGGAGTACACATCATCAAAAAGAGGACTATAAACCATTTTCATAAGTGTTGAAGTATCTTTAGGTAGGTTGATCAGTGCTCAGATAGTTGGTCCTTAGAATGAGTGTTTTCTTAAAGTCAGTGTTGTAAATCTGATGAGCTTTTGTTTCCTTTTTCTTAGATTTTTGCCTTTGTGACAACAGCTTGTTATGGTTGCAGTTTGGGTCTGGCTTTACGAAGATGGCGACCGTAACACTCCTTAGAAACTAACGGTCTGTGTTGGTTTCATTTGTCAACTTTATGTGTCTGATCAATTTGGATACCATTTTGTCCAGATAGAACAACATTCCAAAAGAAACTTGTTTAGTATATGGAGAGAATTTAAGTACAAGTTTTGGTTCATTTCATAGATGGAATTTTAATTTTATTATGATGTTAAATAGAGAAATGGCCTTTAATTTTACATCTGTCTCTTTTTTAAGGAAAATTTTCCTTTATATCCATAAAGTATACAGATATTGCTCATGAAAAAGGGGTATCTCTTTTGTTTAATTGCTGAGTCACTTAAACCTTAATTTTAATAGGTAACTGAAATTTCCGTAAAAAACAAAAAATGAAAAGCAAAAACAAACTATGTTTTAAATAGCCTTCCCCCCTGAACTGTTTTAATGTAAAACAGAGATTGGCACCCTTTTTCTATAAAGGTCCAGATGGTAAATATTTTAGGCTTTGTGGGCCATACGGTCTCTGTTGCAACAATTCAACCCTGCTGTTACTTTGTGAAAGCAGCCATAGGCAATATGCAAATGAACGAGTGAGCCTGTGTCCCAATAAAACTTTATTCAGGAAGACAGGAAGCAGGCTGGATTTGGCCTGTGGGCTGTAGGTTAGTTTTACAACCTCTGGTGTAACACCTTAGTTATATTTTACGTATTTTATTAAACTGATCCTGAAGGGTATAAAACGAGAGAAGTCATATAATATTTAGCCTCATTATGCAATAATCACGTTGCCTTTGTGTTGATGGTCAAGTACTTACCCCTGAAATGGTGGATAGTTTTTCAGGCTAATTCAAGCAGAGTGTTGGGTACAGGAAAAAGTAATTTATGAAGTAAATCTTAGTTGCTTAATCAAACTAAGGGTCTCTTACCAACTGAGCAAACCTCTCATCCGGCATCCTTAAAATGAAATCCCCAGAGACCATTCACCACTACTGGAACTGGTATCTAGCTACTTATGTCTTACTTTGGATTTATTTATGCTTCAGAATACAGCTGTTTGTCCTGTGCATGAACATATGAATATTTGTGTGTGGATATATGAGGCTTTGCCAAATAGAGCTTCCCTGAAGAGTTAACTTTTTACTTCTAATCATTTCACGTTACTTTCTCAGTTAACTTTGAATAGAGTATTAGATATAACTTAGAGTTGAAGCTTCTTACATGTTTTAATAATAGCGCCATTGTTTCGCATTGGTAACAACAGCCCATCCTACAAACTTGTCTCTGGCTGAATTGCACAAAAAATATTTTAATGCATCTGGCTAGAGACCCTGGTTGTGGAAAGGTGCCAAAAAATGGCTTGAATGGGAGAACAAGTGAGAGTTAGGTTCCAGCTCCCACTACAATGTCCAAGCAGGATACTTATCTCCCGCCCCAGGCGGGCTTCCTCTGGGAAAAGAGGGCTTTGACCATCCAAAACCTTCAGCCCTTTGCTTTCATTGGCTGAGTCATCCCCTAAGAGTGCCCTGTCTAAGTTGTGCTATTAGATGTCATAGAACGTAGAACAATCCCGAATGAGTCACATGATCAATGCTCAGTGATCAGATGCTATTTATATAATAATCACCTAGAAAGAAGAATCTTATCAGAGTTTGGTTTGTGATATAAAGACGTGGTTCAATATGTGGCAAGAAGAAATCAGTCTAAGACTTTATACTCATGTCCTGTCTTTTCTATAATATCTGACTTCCTTGGTTTTTCTAGCTTCATACCACACACTTAAACCTGTATTATGAATTGTATATTACAAAGTCATAAATGTGCCATAAGGATATATAGTTCATTCAAGTTGGAATCAAGTTGGTATAGTTCATTCAAGTTGGAATCTAGTCTGCTAGATTTAGTTGTGAGATTTTATTTTTGTTTCCAAAGTATAACAGGTCTGTGCTTGGTGGCATTAAATTAAATGATTTCATGAAATGGCTTTAGTGGCACTTTTATAAATGGATTGCCTCTAGATCATTAAGAACCAAGCCTAAAACTCATCTGACTGTGAATACTTATATTTGTAGATTAATTGTGTTCTGGGTTTGTGAATTGAGTGACAAAGCACTTGAACAAAAATTACAGCATTTGAAAATTTCTTTATATATGCTGTAGAAATGAGAAAGTGTTGGTTTTAAAATCTGGTAACTCCATGATGAAAAGAAATTTATTTTATAAGTGTTATGACTCTAATAAAGTATTCATTTGATAATCTTTTTTGGTCATCTATTTTTTATACAATTCACTTTGAAATTCAGTTAAAGGTTTGATATAAACTTGACAGATTTGGAATTTCTAGACTCACAATATATAAAAGTTCTGCTTTAAACATTTCTATGAGAAGTTTCTCAGGAAATGTCAGTGAGCCTTTTTTCTTTGATGAAGGTCAAAGAGGTAAGTCTTTGGAAGTAATATTTTAAAGGAAGTTTCAATTATACCCTACTTTATTTAAAAGCATTTATATAGTGCTTAATATGTGCCAGGCAGTGTTCTCAGCATTTTTTCAGATATTAGCTCATTTAATCCTCCTCATGACAATTCCGTGGGGTAGACAATATCATCTCCTCTTAAAGATGAGGGAGCTAGGGGCACCAGGGTGGCTCAGTTGGTTAAGCGTCCGACTCTCTGGTCTTGATCTCGGGGTCGTGGGTTCGAGCCCTGTGTTGGGCTTCATGCTGGGCGTGCAGCCTACTTAAAAAAAAAAAAAAAACAGATGAGGGAACTACACACAGACCTTAAGTGACACCCAGGGTCATATGTCTAGCAAGAGGCTTTAAACCCCAGTGGTCTGGCTCCAAAGTCCAGACACCTAATGGCTGGACATCTCTCAGTTCTTCAAGCTTTTATATATTTTATATAGAGAGAAAAATGTGACCCTTCTCCCCCCAAAACAAAATTTTTAGCCGAATGTTTAATATAATTGTTTATGGTAGATGCCATCTTTTAGAACTTTTTTTTGTCAGAGCCAAGGACTCATGAGTTTAGCTATAAGACATTAGGCCAGACCTCCCTTACAGGGGAAGAGTTAGGCAGCTTTGGTCTGCCAAGGCCCCCAGAGAGCTTGGCTGCCTCTTTCTCTGGCCCAGTAATTCTGGCCTGGGGTGTGGGCCTTCAGTCTCCTGCGTTGCCTTACATCAAATCAGCTCTTTCCTGAATTAGCCTGGCTTCCTGATGAGCCCTTGAACTGCCATCAGAAGCGTTCTCTGGTCTGAGATACACAGTTCGATCTTGATACGTAAACTCTCAATTTCCACCTCTACACGTGCCAGAATCTGGAATTCTACGTCAGCGTCACGAAGATTCAAGTTTGTTATGAAGTGAGCCAGTGCCTCAGGGGGCAACATAATGTATTCACGTGGGAGGGGGCCCAGAGTTGAAGGGGAGATGATCATCTTTAGCATGTACATGGATTTTTGTTAATGCTTTCAAAGTTCATCTCGCTTTTAGAGCGAGCCCTAAGCTGTGCGGTGGGCAGTAGGTCAATACTAGTTGCTTTGTCTGGAGCCGCCTTCTCCCAAGGATTTGCGTGGCCTGCTCCCTCACCCTCTTCGGGTCTTTGCTCAGTTGTCCCCTTGAATCTCACACCAGCACTCCTCCTCCTCCTTTCTTGCATTTCTCCTAGGCACTGAAGACATGTATTTTACATATAGCATGAAGAGCCTATATTTTATTCCTGCGTTAGTCCTCTTCTCTGCTAGGATGTAAGGCTTATGGACAGGAGCCATCTACTCTTTACAGCTCCATCCCCAGTGCCTAGAAGAGAGCATAGCAAATAGCATGTACTCAGTAATTAGATATTGAATTAGCAAATGAATGAATGTTCTAGCAATACCTAATTTTGTGTTCCAGTCGATATACTCTATAAAAATTGGTCTTGTTAGCACTTGAAAATTTTTAGTATAAAATGGCTAGGCATTTTTCACCTAGCTCTGGATATATTTAGAGTGAATTCTACCTTACAGGTCCTCTAGTAATTAAATATATGTGTGTTATAGAAATGTTATGTGATCAGTCTTGTATAGCAGAGGAGCTAGGCATATAAAAATTAGGCATCCCGTGTAAACTCATTAGATCTGTATTCCAACTTTTTCCATGACGAGAGATGTCACTGTAGACTCAACTGATTTAGTCCTCAAAGCATCACCAGAACTAAGAACTAATGGTCAAAGGCTGTCATTTTTCTATAATTATGATGGGAATGGAGGGCTCTGGCTAGTGGTTTTTGCTAAAAATTATGATAGTCACTGTTCTAAGTGTAACAAGAGGTGGAGGTATCTGTATATATCATGTGGCATTTTGATTTTTCATGTCTGTCAACTCCAAGCATTATCCTTGCATATGCGTGAGAGGTATTCTAGATGAAGGATATTGTTGACTTCCTACCTGCAGTTTCATGTATCATTCTAAGTATGCCTGATGTCCTGAGTAAATGTACAGTTTAGCCGAAGTATGAAGTTCTGATGCATCAGTATACTGGACCACATTGCCTTTTCATGAAATTATGCATGTTATTGATTATTAAATATGCCATCTTCCTGAATACTCTAAAACTTTTGTGTGCAAAATTTTTGGAATGTGAATAAACTCATTTATATACAAAAGTATATAAAACATTTAACAATGGTTGACTAAAGATTTGTTACTTTTAAACAATTTAACAGTCGTCTCTTCTGAACATGTATGCCTTATTTATGTGTATGAAATATATGAACTAGTGTCAACCTATTTTAACTATTAGTAAAGCACTTTAACTTTAAATCATAAAATACAGTTAAAATATTTTCTCTTATCACACTGTAATAAATTACCCTGAATATTTCTTAAGGCACATACACTCATTTTGGAGGCCACAGGAATGAATGGATCATTGATCTGGAGGTCAGCTACCTGGATTTATGTCTTCTACTGGTTTGATGGAAACTGTTGAATAAAATAATAAGGGAAAGCATCTCATATAGGGTCTGGCAGCCATAGACATGGTCTTTTATCTATACTTTGCTTTGGTTTCCTGATGAGATGATAGCTACTTACCCATTTCTTTTGAGTAGAAAGTTGCCTATATCTCAAAACTTAACTCTTGGTCAAATGAATTTTTATGGAACGAATATATTCTCAGCAAATGCCTATGATATTTTGCTCTTTCCCAATGTGAGATGAGTAAGGGTTGCCTCAGATAGTTTTTTAATAGTTATACTTTCGATGTGCATTAGGAAAGAATTGCACATCAAAGGCATGATTTCGTGGATATTATTCAGCATGAAACTAAATAAACATTTAAGTAGGAAAAAATAGTCCATTGAGAGCTGTATGACTTGAAGTGAGTTGCTTTATTTAAGCCTATATACTCATCTACAATGCTGATCATATTTGCAAACCTGTGACGGTAGGTCCTTTGGGAAGAAGAACCCACGATGGAGTTAAAAATTCAAGCAGTTGATTGGAGGTAATGCCTATGAAAGATAAAGAGAAGAAGGACAAATAAGATTAGGTAGGAAGAGTTTCAGACTGTGCTCTAGTTATGAAAAAGTCTCAGCCAACTAATCAGGGAGCTCCTGCACCAAGATTGCCCATGAAACTAGAAAATGTGCTAAGTGAAAGAAGACAGACACAAAAGGTCATGTATGACTCCATTTATATGAAATACACAGAATAAATCTAGAGGCAGAAAATGCACTCAATGGTTGTCAAAGGCTAGAGGGAGGAGGCATTGGGGAGATTCTCCTCCCTTCCCACTGTGAGGACATAGCAAGAAGGTGGGCTTTCTGCAAGCCAGGGAGAGAGCCCTCACCAGAACCATAAAAAACTAAATCTCTGTTATTTAAGCCACCTGGTCTGGTATTTTGTAATGGCAGTCTGAGATGACTAAGAACAGATGCTATGCCAGAATTTGGGTCTACAGCAGAGCTCTTTCCTACTCTGGGCCTCACTCAAAGAAGTTTGCTTTTTATGTCAACCAGAATATGGGCCAGAACAATATTCCTACACATGGACTGTATCACCTTCAGAAAACCCAGAGAAACCTACCAACCATGGCACTTCCATCTTTGTAGTTAAGAAAGCAAGATACAGGATTTTGGCTTCTTCAGAGAGCATGCCCTGGCATGCTGCTGACAACTACAGGCCTACAAGTTTTACAAGAAAAGGCAGTTCCCTGAATCTTTGCAGGGTTTTTCTCATGCCCTCTGGAGTGCAGATCTTACCAAGGTCTTCAGCTAGCTCTTGTGCTCATCTTGATGTCATTAATGTCATGGATCAGTATCATGTGCTGTGGTTCTGTCAAGATTGTCCAGATCTCTGCAGATCACAGCAGAAGAGCTATCCTAGTTCTGGGACAAATCTGTAATGTGTATTACTATCTGATCCACATGAAAGCCAACTGTTTCTGATCCTCTCTTTTGATTAAGATGGAACAAACTCCTGGGACACCTGGGTGGTGCAGTCGGTTAAGCATCTGACTCTTGGTTTTGGCTGAAGTCATGATCTTGGAGTCCTGAGATGAGCCCTGCATCAGGCTCCACGCTCAGCACAGTCTGCTTGAGAGTCTCTCTCCGTCTCCCTCTGACCCTCCCACTCTTGCTCTCTCTCAAATAAATAAATCATAAAAAAAAAAAAAAAGATGGAACAAACTCCTTCACCATACCAAGTGCCTGACACCTTGTTTGGCGTGACAGCCACAATCAGGACCACTGCTTGGTTGGGCTTGTGATACTCTATGGTCATTCTCAAAGATGTTTCTTTTTTCTGAAGAGGCCAAACTTTTGAATTAAATAGAGATATGTTAGGGACCCTCTCCCCTGCATCCTTAAGATCCTAATGATGACACTAATCCCTGTCATCTCCCTTCCCCTAGAATGCAATATATATTTTTTAAATTTAATATATTGGCTGAGGGGCTGGGCCATTTCAGAAACTTCCACTTGACCTCCCCTTCTATGATAGCTCTTAGTCTATAGACCAGGGGTCCAATATGGGGTTTATTTTGATTGCCAACTCTGGTAAATCCAGTTATACATTTGGGGACCAGGGAGATCATCACCAGTTGGTTCACACACATAGGAGGTTCTTTGTGAGCTGGATCTTGGCCAGGAATATATTCTCCTCATATGTCCCTACTCGAACAGGTATGATAATCATGCTTGAATATCCAAACATCCGTCTCAACTCAGTCCCTGTGTCCAAAGGCCCTCAAAATATCTTGTCATTCCCCTTTACTCAATATTAATCACTTGGAGAAGGATCAGTAGTACATATCTGCCTTGATGTTATGAGGTCCTTCCTCATGGGAAGTAGCCGTCTCTTCAGTCAATACATTCCAGGTTTGAAATGGGTTCAGGTTGCGAACTGAGCAAGAAAAAGTGAACAATTGCTAACAGTTCTAGGCTCATGCATTCTTTCCTTCTTTTGACTATGATAAGCAGTACTCTCACTGGTTGCCCACCTGTTCCTGCCCCTAGAGAAGCCATGTTCTAGTAATCACCTGCATAAATTCCAATGGGTCAAGGCTCTGTGATGCTCTCTCCCAAAATTTGCAACCCCCTGGATTTGGGTGGTTAAGTATCACCTTCTGGATTCTGTTGCATCATGGTTCCATCATTCTTACTTCTTTTGATGAGCCAACGTCTGTAAATATCTTGCCTACCCACAGTTCTGTCTTTTAAAGGAAATCCATCATTGAACTCCTTCTTGATGTAGAATAGCACTAGCAGCTAACATTTATTGAACATTTATTATGTGCTAGTCACTGACCTAAGAATATTAGATGTTTCACATTTAATCTCCCCGATAACCCAAGACACTAATGATCACCGTTTTCCCACATACAGAAACTCAGGACACTGAAATTTGAGGACTTGTGTAAGGTCACGCAACTAGGAGTAGAGTCACATTTCAAACCTAAGCAATGTGGTCCAAGAGCTCAGTAAGTACTGGTATCCAAAACATTTTTAAAGATTATAATTCTGAACCAAGTACAAGGAGATACACATTTTAGTTTTTATCATAGCCATGAATTTGGTCAACAAACACTGGAGAAATGCTGGAGTATTTTACAGTGAAACACAGAACATTTTCCATGGATTGTCAGCTACCTCTGTTTTTGCACTTCAGCCTGGTATCAGCCTTTATATCTGCCAGTGGGGTACTACAAATGATACCAGGCAGTGAGTGTATCAGTAGATGAAAACAAATTTAACATTGGTGTTCCCAGGCTCTGTTGAGTCCTACCTTATGGTTTATGGGTTCTGAGACAAACCTATCCAGAACTCAGATGAATTCCGATCACACAGTGGGTAGCTGTGGGGCAACCCTACTGATCAGATGACTCTAAAGCAAGACTTCATTCCAACACTGGGATGCTTTCTTTATGGAATTTGTTTAGTCTGGGTTTATATTTGCACTGCAGGGTCACAAGTGAGACTTCTCTTTCTGTCCCATTGTCTTTCACTTTTGATTGCTTGGCAATTTCCATTTCTATTAAATTCAGATTAGCCAAAGAGCATGCATTGCTAAAACCAATGTTCACTTTTCTTTTAGCTGTTCTTCCATGCAACCAGGAGAGGGCAGTCAGAGTACATTTTTAGAGACTTCAGAGGCAGCTGCTTAAGGGTGGGGGACTTCAGAAAGATTTTCCATTTTAATATGATGTGCTCTCCAGTCCCTTTCCTCAGGGTAATGTGCAAGGTCAAAGTTTAAGGCCATATGTAGCATGCTGGTCTAAGTAAGCGCTGAGAGCTATAGCCTCTTTTAAGGCACTAGCCAAAACTTAATCATTAAAACCATAGATAGCAATAATTTTAATCAGAATGCCTTTTTCCACAGTGGGGAGGGACTAAAAACATCAGTGTCATTCATGTCCTTGAGATACTCACTATATTCCAATTAAAGGTCGTCTTTTCAACACCTTGCAATATCTTTGTTAACCAAAATACAATTTTAGAGCATACTCACTGGGTTCTGTTTGCAAAATTTGGCCATGCCTTCTACTAAGTTTGGGCATTACTCTTCACTTAACACCTTAGTGGCGATTGAGTTATTAATAACAACACACACTTAAGGCCATCATGCATTTCATGCAATAATCAAAATTTTTTTTAAATGCTGCATCTTGTAGTACACTTTCTAAGGTTGTCTTCGCCTTCCTGATTGAAGTCACTGTTATTCTCACAACCAGCTGGGTCGGTGGTGCCATGAAAGAAACAGTCTGGAGCCAGGTAGAACTTGTTTCATATTTTGGCTCAGTTGTGAGATTTAGGGCTAGTCTCTTAAATTCTGGGTCAGTTTTTTCTCCAGTCTGGAAGATGAGTGATACTCTGATTTTACTGCTATTGTTTTTGTCACTGTTATTTTGGCAGAAGTAGCCAATACTAACTAGTGACGTCTCTCCAAAGTGTAGCAGACCAGATTTGTTCTGCTAATACAGACAGTAGCCCAAATAAACCTGGTTTTTATCTAACAACGCTGTTTTAAGATGAACATATGGGAGGGGGGAGAAAAAGGACAAGAAAAAAGAAAAAAAGAGAGAAACAAACCATAAGAGACTCTTAATGATAGAGAACATACTTGGGGCACCGGGGTGGCGCAGTTGTTAAGCATCTGACTCTTGATTTTGGCTCA